CCCCCCCCCAATTCCAATAAGTAAAGTAAAGGTTCCCTTGCTCGAAAGCCAGTCGAAAGCCGACTCTAGGGTTGCGGTGCTCATCTCCGTTTCAAAGCCGAAGAGCCAGCGCTGTCCGAAGACATTTCCGTGGTCATGTGGCCCCAGCCTGCAACCCACCCGAAGGGCCAGGGAACACGACCCCAACCCCGCACACACACCCCCAACCAAAAGGGCAGAGCCTCGCCCCCTCCCACCTTGAAGGCCAAAGTGGTGGTCCCATGCAGGAGCTCGATCTTGGCATCCACCGCGGCGGTGCTGGGGCAAGGGGCGGCCAGGGACAAGGGCAACCCCGCGCTCTCCGTCCCCTTCTCTCCTCCACCGAAAGCCCCGAGCGCGGGCGACCGGAATTCGCAGCCGGCGCCCAACCCAAAGTACCCGGCCCGGTTCACGGGCTCTTGCGGCTCCAGCAGGCTGGCCAGCGCCATCTTGGATGTGGGCGAGGAACAGTGACTCAGGGAAGAACGACGGCCCAGCTCCTATATAAGCTCCGGGCGCCATGTTGTGTGAGGGCAACGAAGGCCGGGGGTAAGGCTGACGTCAGCGACGGGCGCCACCATAGGCGCCGCGCCATTCGTTGGTCTAAGCCGGCTGGTGAGGGCGGCTCCGCCGTTTTTGGTGAGGGCGGCCGGGCTGTTTGGGAGCCCAGGTCGGGCGCCATTTTGAGTAAGGGCAAGGCTCGGTTCGGGTTCGGAAGACCTCGCCGGGTGACAAAGCCGATCTGCCTTTGCGCCTCGTCTCGCGAGTGGGAACCGAATGCGACAGTCGCCGTCCTCGTTTCCTCTGGGGGATGTCATGTTGGGGGAAGCAAAGGGATTGTCAGCAGGTGTGAGGTGATTTTGCCTCTGACATTTCGAGCAGGCAGCAAAGTTATGCAACGACGAGGCTGGAAGAGCCCCGGAGGGGAAGTTCGCTTTTTTTCTCCCCCTCTTCCTGTACTGAGCGCGTCTTCCTTTTCCCGTGGAACTCACGACGACATGAGGCCAGCAATAGACATAGTAAATAGGGCATGGTGTCCTGTCCTGAAAAACACAGAATGCTCTGCATCTGACAATAGCACTACAGATAAGATTTAGAGTTTCAACAGCCAATCCATATGCAAAAGAATCTCCTCAGGAAAGCTCCCCTATTAGGGAACTCCTACAAGAACAGCCTTCCGTGCACCTTGGTGTTTAGTCATGCCGGCCACATGACCACGGAAAACGTCTTCGGACAGCGCTGGCTCTTCGGCTTTGAAACGGAGATGAGCACCGCAACCCTAGAGTCGGATTCTACTGGCTTTCGAGCAAGGAAAACCTTTACCTTACCTTTTGAGCACTACCTTCTGAATGATGAGCGGCAACTCCAGGCGTCTGGTCAGGGAAGCACTGGTAGCCCCGTAGCCAGCGCCGTTCCCCATCCCACGCATGCGCACAAGCGCGCTACTGCCGGTTTGCTGCACAACGTGTGACTGGCTGCCGGAGCACGGAGCCGCTGGGGCACGTCGGATCGCGGTTCTTTTTGCTCTGGCTCTAATTTGCCTCCCTTCGGCAGCGGATCATCCCACTCGTGTGACCGGTACCAGGGTCAGTCAGCCCTGGTTAGTATTTGGATGGGAGACCACCGAAGAAGTCTAGGGCTCAGTGAGAGACCACCAAGGCAGTCTAGGCAAACAGCAAACCACCTCTGAGCATCTCTTGCCTTGAAAACCACAGGGGGTCACAACAAATTGGCTGCAATGTGATGGCAAAAAAATTACTTGTGTGCTCCTTAATCCACCCTCCCTGGTGGGTTGCCAGGTACCACCTGGTCATTGGTGGGGGGATGAGGGGGTAGGGTTTCCAGATCCCCTACAGACACAGAGAGTACTCCATCTTTTCGTGTTACACCTCTGAGGATGCCAGTTACAGCTGCTGGCGAAACACCATGTCCTACAATGCCAAGATCACGGCCATACAGCCCGGAAAATCTACACCAACTAATGAACGCCGGCCGTAAAACTCTTCGACAACATATTGAACACAGTATTATCAGCAGTGATTAGACAAGATCATTAAGGAATCTGCTGCTACACTGAATGCACCCTTAGTTGTCTGGTTGCTTTGGGGGGGGGGAGAGAATGAAGAACTCACTCCATCATGCGGCACACTCGGGTCTGCAACTGCTGCATCCACCTTTTGCTTGTTATTCTATTTACACAGAAAATAGGGCATGGTGTCTTAACCACTTGAGCCACTGCAGCTCCAGGCTCAAAAGCATTTTAAAAAGCTTTTAAATGTGCATTTTCCGGCCGGATTGGGACGGGTGCGTGACGCTTCCCAGATGTTGCAGTGTGATCACACCAGCTTGATGTGCCCCCGATCCATCCCTCTTGCGGGGCAAATCCTCCCGTGTGACCGGGGCCCCTGCTTAGCTTTTGAGATTTGATGAGAGCGGGCTAGCCTAAGTTATCCAGGTAAGGGCAATCAGGAGTCTGCGTTTACTGGGAAAGAACGAAGCATCATATGCACACCCACAAGGGGATAGGCTGTAGGGGAAACAAGAGGTCTTCTGCCTTAGCTAGTTGAGAGGGATCTGCAGCTGGCCCCAAAATTCTCTGATAAGGACAGAGGTTGACAAGACTATACCACTAGTCTGTTCTGACTTAACAGAGAATCCCTTTCATTCTATAGGGCTGCGATCATACGCAGAACTAGACCCGCGAATGCCAGGCGGATTTAAAGGGCGTGATCAGACAGCAACATCTAGGAAGCCCCCCGCAGCTGTCGACAACCTGTTCTGCTCCACCACAGAAGCGGAGTGAAAAGTCATCGGGGAAAATCCGGTAGTAAACGGGTTGCAACGGGCCATGGATGGACTTTCCCCTGTCTGATTGCTCCAGCGCGCTCTCATGGTGTCGGGATGGTCTGACCAGGCCATCCTGACTCCGTGAGGTTGTTTCCCACCACCCCCTTCTCAGTATGCGCATCTTTTTCTACCTGCTCTATCCCATGCATAATCTTATAAACCTCAGTCATGTCACCCCTCTAAACTGTGGAGTCAACAACAACAACATTTATTGGCATTATGCACTAAGACGTATACAAAACATAAGGAGTACTCAATACAGTTAACACATATCTCGCTTTTTAGAAGCCAGATACAAAAAAGTTGCCACTCTTTCAACAGTTACAGCATTTTTTGAGGAAAGAAGAAAAAAGGACATAATTATCAGGTTGGCCTATGAGCTGTGGAGTCTTGTGAGCTAAAATTCTACTTTCTGAGCTACTGGCATTAGAGTTGTGAGCCTGCTGCGTAAGTTAGTTTGCTCTGGAGCCATCCTTCCTGAGCCAAGACAAAAATGTGCACACCGGAGGCTAAAAAACTGTGAGCTAGCTCACACTGGCTCCTCTTAGAGGGAACGCTGCCCCAGGCTCCACCTCCAAATCTCCAGGAATTTCCCAAACTGGAGTTGACAACCCTAGCTCCCCCTTTGGCATGATTACCAAATTAGTACTTTTCCAAAGTTCGTGGTTGCCAAATATACACTCCTTGGTACTTTTACAAAGCTCCCCCATAGATTACCACCACTACCCATCTCTGACCGTCAAATACACAATTTTGACCTGAGTCGGCCGTTTCCCACCAGTCAGACAGACCACATTTGCACTTACCTTTGTGCCAGAGAATGAATATACTGTATTCTACTCTTGTGATACTTTCAGCTTCCATTCCCTCCACGGGCCGTAAGTGTTCTCTCTATACATCCACTTGTACAGAAAAGCTGGCTAGAAAGGCTTCAACTAAAATTACAGGGAGCCAATCCCAGCCTTGTTGAGAATTGCTATCTCACACTCCTTTGCACTAATCAAAGGCCACCGTTTACTGAGGACACTCTGGCCTAATTTTACTGTCCAGGAGGACTGAAGACATTCCTCCAGGTCTGCAAACCACCTGTGCTGTCTCTAGAGCCTCAGTTCCCCTGAGATATTTTGAAAGGGGCACTGAATCTTTCCTGGGTAACCCAACTGAACTTAACATCAAACTGCGTCTAAACTATTGCAGTAAAAGCTCTTCTTAAAAGGTAAACTGGGAGTAAAATGCTGGTGGCAAAGAGGATGAGAATTTTCTTTTTTTGAATAGAGAAGAGGGAGAAGAGATTGGATTTATACCCCTTTCCCTTCCTCTCCCCACAACAGACACCCTGTGTGAGCAGTGTTCCCTCTAAGCTGAGCTGGTGTGAGTTAGCTCACCGTTTTTTAGCCTCCAGCTCACACATTTTTGTCTTAGACCAGGAAGGATGGTTCCAGAGCAAACTGATTTATGCAGCAGCCAAATCTCTTGCTCACAACTTGAATGCCACTAGCTCACAGAGTAGAATTTTTGCTCACAAGACTCCACAGCTTAGAGGGAGCATTGCCTGTGAGGTAGGTGGTGCTCTTTTTCAAGGACAGCTCTGAGAGAACTGTGGCTTGCCCAAGGTCATCCAGCCAGGTGCAAGTGGAGGAGTGGGTGAATCAAACCCGGTTCTCCCAGATTAGAGTCCGCGCACTGAACCACGACACCAAACCAAAATCCCAGTTCCTTCTGCAGCCGAATCACAGTTAGAAACACACTATACCACACAACTGGCTTTCACGCCCCTGTCCCCGGTCACACTTCTCACTCTCCCTCCCCATCACACACATTCCGTCCTCCCCGCCCTACCCCCAAATTCTGGATAGACGCAGCTGGGGGACGCAGCGTTGCATTTTTCTGGGAAACGCGGAGGAGGCAGTGGAGGGTGACAGCCGCTGACATGCCAGCGTCCTCTTCCCCTCGTGGGGTGGGGACTGAAGGAATAACCCTCTCTGTGCTGGGGACCAAGTGAAAGGAAGAAGAAGAGGAGGAGATTGGATTTCCCGCCCTTCACTACCCGAAGGAGTCTCAGAGTAGCTTACAAACTCCTTTCCCTTCCCCTCCCCACAACAGACACCCTGTGAGGTCAGCGGGGCTGAGAGAGCTCTGACAGATACTGCTCTTTTCCAAGGACAGCTCTGACAGAACTATGGCTTGCCCAAGGTCATCCAGCGAGGTGGGAGTGGAGGAGTGGGGAACCAAACCCAGTTCTCCCAGATTAGCGTCCACGCACTTAACCACTACACCAAACTGGCTCTCACACCAAAATGGTCAACTGTTTGTGGCCCTCCAGAGCCTTTGCCCGACGCCGATACTAAGAACGAAGCGGAAATCTATTCTGAACTGAGCTGCACACCGCAAAAAGCATATTTGGTATGTCTGGCAGCATCAGTCCAGCTGTCAGCCTCTTCTCAGGGATCGTCCCAAAGCATCTTCCCTGGAGCCCAGATGTGAAAGCCGATTGTTGCCTCCTCCACCGAGAAGGGGCCGTGTCGCATCTGCCTTCTGTACAGAGAGTCACACGCTGCTGCAACGAAGCATATATTTTGGTCCCATTCAGCTCGCAGGCAGCCCCGTCCCAAGGACACAGAGCCAATAATGGCATGCATAGCCACATTTCATCCCACTGCTTGTCATGAGGAATTTTTTTTTAAAGGAGAGAGAAAGTGCTCCTGCTGCAATAGGGTTTTCATCTCCTTTCAGGAATGGGAGGGGGCCGTTGTGTGAGCCAACGATTCTCCATGTAGCTTTCGTTGCCACTGTGAATGCAGAGGGTATCCAGTGGAGGATCCACACTGCAATTTCCCCTATACTTTCCTCGCCTCAGCCTGTTGTGGCTACCCCTCTCTCACTTCCCTGGAGGGCTTTAAGAAAAACTGGCAATTTACCTTTAGTCATAGCATGAAAATGTTATAAGGCTCTATCTGCTAGGTCCTCTGGGTTCCCAGCTGTCCTTTCTTCAAACAAACTCTGTCCCTTTTCATTGTGGAGATATAAGGGGAAAGGCATATATCGGCAGTGAAAGGTGCTAAATTCTTTACTAGCATGAAATTCTTTACTAGTCATAGCATGAAAATGTTATAATGCTCTATCTGCTAGGTCCTCTGGGTTCCCAGCTGTCCTTTCTTCAAACAAACTCTGTCCCTTTTCATTGTGGAGATATAAAGAGAAAGGCATATATCGGTAGTGAAAGGGGCTAAATTCTTTACTGTTTTTAAAATGCAAATGTTGAGCTCAGAGGAACTAGCAGATAAAGCCTTAAAGCACTATAGCAATATGTCGATGGCCAATATATTTTTTTTAAAGTCCTCTGGTGCCAGGGAAGAATGGTGGGATTTGAAGAAGGAAAATGTTGCTGATGCAGGTGGGATCTGAAAAAGGCACACCTTCTCACCGACATAGCTCTTTGACTACAATCTTTCAACAAAAGAGAAGAAACCAGGTTCAAGAAAGATCACAGCAAAGTCGGACAAACCCAGGAAATGGACAATTGGGGATCATGTTGCGTAGATGCTCCAAGAAACCTGCTCCATATTTGAAACCAAACCGAAGCACAACCTCTGCGTGGAAGCAGCTAACGAGTCCACTTCCTAACATTTCCCACTGTCACCTCCAATGTCACCTCATTTGTTCTGAGGGTCGGATGTGACATAAATGAGACCTTCTGGACCGGGCCACGTGTGTCATAAAAAAAGGCAATGCCAGGTAGTGGAGATATCAACTTTATAAAGGACACAAACACAAAGGGGTCTTTTTTATTTAAAATAAAAAAATGCTTAAAACATTAGCACCCTTGCAATATTTTGTTTAGAGGAGCTGCGGTGGCTCAAGTGGTTAAGACACTGAACTGCAGGCTGTGGAAGGTCAGTAGTTCAGCAGTTCGAGACCCAAGTGTGCCGCAGGACAGAGTGAGCTCCCGTCTCTAGTTCCAGCTCCTGCCAACCTAGCAGTTCCAAAGCAAGAAATTGCAAGTAGATAAATAGGTACCACTTCAGTGGGAAGGGAACAGCGTTCTGTGCGCCTTGGCATTTAGTCATGCCGGCCACACGACCACGGAAACGTCTTCGGACAGCGCTGGCTCTTCGGCTTGGAAACGGAGACGAGCACCGCAACCCTAGAGTCAGATTCGACTGGCTTTCAAGCAAGGGAACCTTTACCTTTAATATTTTGTTTATTGAACAGTGTCTGGTAACTGACACCTCTTGCTCTGAATTATTGCATCAAAATGCTTTGCAATCTTGAGTATGCTGTTCAGGTGTGTATCTGTAAGCTGCAAACCTATGATGATGCAGCAGCAACAGAACTGGAAGAAGAAGCAGAAGACAGCCAGTTCCACTGCGGACCTGAAAGAAGCCCTCCAGGGCTCTGACACCCCTGCTCTAAGCTGTAGAGTTTTGGAAGCAAAAATTCTACTTTGGGAGCTACTGGCTTGCAAGTTGTGAGTGAGCGATTTGGCAACTGCATAAATTGGTTTGCTCTGGAGCCATCCTCCCTGTGTGAGCCAGAGGCTAAAAAACTGTGAGCTAGCTCACACTAACTCAGCTTAGAGGGAACACTGGTCACCTCCCTCCATTTTGACTTCTTTTTGCCATTCGCAATTCCCCACCTCCTTTTTAAGGCTGTGGTCCTAGGTACTCTTACTTTGGAATAGACCCCACTGGACTCAGTGGAAATCACATTTCAAGTAAACACATCTTGGGCCTCGTTCGGTCGCCTGATACCTGAACGCAGCGGATAGCGAAAACAAGCCATAACCTGTCATCTGGCAAAGCAATTTCCCGGCAACGTTATCTGCTTGTCTTCCTATCCTCGTTGTGAAGCCTGTTCCTTACCTGACCCGTCACTCCTTCTCTCCACCACCATCCCGGTCTTGCGTGTGATCCCTCCCCCAAGCAACCCCACCACCAGCTTCTTATAAGTCCTCTTCACCAATTTCTTCCAGCATCCTTCACCCCAATGGCTCTCCAAGACATTCTGGGTATGAATCGCCGTTCACAGCCTCCCTGTTGGCCTCCGCCGCCCCCCGGCCGGATGACGGTACCCCCGCCCTTCTCGCTGTCCCACGGCACGACGACCCTGGCTTTCCGCTGCAGCCACGGGGTGGTGGTGGCAGCAGACACCCGCTCCTCTTGCGGGAGCCTCATATGCGATCCGGCTTCCCGTAAGGTCATCACGCTCCACCGCCACCTGATAGCCACCACATCCGGGACGTCCGCAGACTGCGCCGCTTGGCTCCGTATCCTGCGCTGCTCCCTGCGCCTGAGGCACCTCCACGAGGGGCAGCAGCCCAGCGTGGCCGGGACAGCGAAGCTGCTGGCTCGCCTGCTGCACGGATGCCACAGCAAAGACCTCTGCGTGGCCACCCTGCTGTGCGGTTGGGACCATACAGGGCCCAGGCTCCATTACGTGTACAGCGACGGGACCTGCTTCTCCGGGGATGTCTTTTCGGTTGGCTCCGGATCCCCTTATGCCTACGCTGTCTTGGATGGGGCCTACCGCTACGACCTGCCAGTCGCGGAGGCGTTCGCCCTGGCCCGCCAGGCCGTAGCCCACGCTGCCCACCGAGATGCCTACTCCGGAGGCAACGTCGACCTCTACCACGTTCAGCAAAGCGGTTGGGTCTGTGTCTCCAGGGAAGACGTGGGCCGAGTCTACCAAGTTTTGGGGGAAACGGCAGAAGAGGAGGGGGGTTGTGAAGGAGAGCAACTTGGAGAAGAACAGAGCAGACCAAACTGATAAGGCCTCGTTTGTTCCAGCAGGACGCCGCCGTAATCCCAATCGGGAAGTCATTCATTTTGGTAAACTACGGGAGAGCTGAGTATGATTTGAAGCACTGGGGGCGGGGGAAAGAAACACCATTAAGGACTAAATTGGTCTATCAGTAGGAAAACACCCCACCCCCCCAAAAAATAACGGGCCTAGCGTATACCTGTGTGGACCATCTCGTACCAGAAATATGCAGGGTATGGCGAAGACACAGAAATTTTGGAGATGAACTCTGAATCAAGAGATGGCATAATTCATCAGTACGGGACAAGAGAGAAAAAAGCTCCGGCATTCTTTGCAGTAAACAACCTTGGGCCCGTATAAACCAGCATGATCAACTTGTAGGACAGATTACACCAGTACGGAGCAGATGGTAATGGCAGCGTCCATTACCCGAGCGAAAGCCTCTGGGCCAGCGTAAACCAGTATGGAGCAGCCTTTGCTGGTTTGAAACCTCGGATATGTAGTACGGATCAGCTGAACCCAACAGAGAACCGTATGCTGCCCCGAATCAACCAGGCACAGCCTCCCCATTTGAACGACTTGAAGTGAACATCACAATGGGGTTGGCGGAACCCCGGCGGAGTAAAGAAGGCCCGGGTGTGAATCCGTTCGTGCGGCCGAGTCAGATCTGTTTGGATCAGGGAAACAGCTAGCAAACATCACTGGGGGAAAGTCGCACTGTTTACTGTTGGCCTTGGCAGGCCAGTGAATGGAGGAACCAGACATAACTGGAACCAACAGAGCCCAGTAACAAGCCGATTGCTGCATTGTTTGAAAAATAATTGGATCCCAGCCCTGCGCTTTTATTCCCCGTCCCCTCCACAGACTGTGAGACGTGTCACGGGAAAGTGCTGGGAATGCAGTGAGTGGTGATAAATGCACATTTATCTCTCTGTCGCCCGGCTCTATCTCGTCCTATCTCCCCGCTTCGGTGTCCTTCTGCCCACCCTGCGTCACCGCCCGTCATCTAATTATGTTTCCCCTTGGCATTGTCTGCCAGTCGCCCGCGAGCGTCCCTCGTCCCTCGCCCCCCCGTCTCCAAAGGCGGGCAAAATAAGCGGCGGCAAATAGATAAGTGGTTTTGGAAGTCGCCGGAGTGAGCTGCCCGTCCCTCGTGCCGTAGCGGCCCCGATCCCTAGAGTGCCCCCCAGTGGGGACGGCAGCGCCGCAAATCCCCGAGCTCATTGCTATTCCTGGCATACTTGGCCGTGGCTAAGTCCTGGGAAGGCGCCACCATTGTCCGCCTTTATCTTAATTGGCATCTCCTGGCCATGGCTGTGATGCTGGCGAGGGCCCATGCCTCCCCCCTCCCCCTTCTCACTCCTCCAGCATGGCCTGCCTCGCTCTGTCGCTCCCAATCCATCTGCCTTCCCCCCGCCCAGCGCTCTCCTCCCCGTCTTTTCTCTCTTGCTCCCTTCTGCTTCTCTTTGTCCGCCTCTCCTCTCCACCTGCCCCTTTCTCGTTCTCTGCATCATCTTCTCTCACACGTTCCTCCTTTGTTTGCGGTGGGCTGCAGGAGCCAAATCACTCGCTCACAACTTTAATGCCAGGAGCTCACAAAGTAGAATTTTTGCTCACAGGACACCACAGCGTAGAGGGAACATTGGTGGGCACTAGTCGGTATGTGGGGATCGGGGGGGGGGGTGTCCACGGTGGCTTTGTTGTCCCTTTCCGCCTCCGTGGTTCCAGCCAAGACACCGGGCCTCAGGTGTAGCCCAAGGTCATCCAGCCAGGTGCAAGTGGAGGAGTGGGTAATCAAACCCAGCTCTCCCAGATTAGAAGAAGAAGAAGAGATTGTATTTATACCCCACCTTCACTACCCGAAGGTGTCTCAGAGCGGCTTCCAAACGCCTTTCCCTTCCCCTCCCCACAACAGACACCCTGTGAGGTAGGTGGGGCTGAGAGAGCTCTTTTGAGAACTGCTCTTTTTCAAGGACAGCTCTTATCAGAACTACCGCTTGCCCAAGGTCATCCAGCCAGGTGCAAGTGGAGGAGTGGGTAATCAAACCCAGCTCTCCCAGATTAGAAGAAGAAGAAGAGATTGTATTTATACCCCACCTTCACTACCCGAAGGTGTCTCAGAGCGGCTTCCAAACGCCTTTCCCTTCCCCTCCCCACAACAGACACCCTGTGAGGTAGGTGGGGCTGAGAGAGCTCTTT